CACCCGCCGCGGGCTGGCGCCGCCTGCAGCCGTTGCAGTACTCGCGCTCGGCATCGTCACCAAGCTGATGACCAGCAGACCCTGACTCGCAGCAGGGACCGTGGGGACTTTGCTTTCGCCCTCCTGAGGGATGGATGTACAAAGCACAGACCAGCCAGCGAGAAAATCCAGCACACGCCTGTCCCACAGGAGCCAAAGGGCCCCCGTCAGCATTCGGCAGCATCTGCTCAGCCACCGCTCGGGAACGGGCCCTGCGGCTGCTCCAGCACCTGAAACACGGCTCTGGGCTGCCCGACCCAGCCCGCGCGTGCGGACAATCCCCTCCAGCCCGCGCTGCCAGCTGTCACCCACCGACCGGAGCCGAGCACAGCCCGGCTCACACCGCTGCTCTGTGACAAATGCCAAATAAAGAATAAACCCAGCTGGACTCGGGCTGGCTCCTTTGGGTGGAGGCTGAGGGCAGGGTTTGGGCCGGAGCAGGGAACACCCGATGCTGGGGGCTGCAGCCCATAGGGGAGTCCGGGGGACGTGGGTCTTGCCCTGCCCCAGGTGGCCTTCACAGTAAAACAAAGGTTTTATTCAGCAAGGTGCAAGGTCAGCTTCTAGTTACAAGTTTGGTGGTAAAAGACTCCCAGTAAACCAACAAAAAATGGAAATACAATTCCAGGGGAGATGGCTGGCTGCTCAGCCACTCTGCCTAAGGGCTTCCCCAGAACCAGGACTCTGGTCGCAGCAATGCCCCTGTCCTTGCCCCCACAGCCCCAAACGCAGTGCACCAGCAGGGCAATGGGCCCTGGCACTCCTCGAGGCCTTGGGGCAGAGTGGGGCCACAGCTCAGAAAGCCTTTAGTGTCACCTCAGGTTGTCTTTGCACACTTCGGACGGCTAAAGGTGGTTTCCTCTGCAACAAGACATCATCCGTTCAGTCATGGTCATGAGTCCTTTCAAGGACGGGATGTGGCAGGTTCTTAGGGCCTCCTTCCCCCTGCTCTGGGCAGGCTGCTGGGGACAACCAGCCTGGAATGTCCCCATCAGTAAGACCCACATTTTTTTAGGCTTACTGCTGGTGTGGGAGAGCTTTCTATGGAGATCACACGAGGTGTCACGTAGGTAACAGGCTCAGTAACAACTGGCTTTGTTTTGATACCTTTGTGACAAAGGATTCCTGAGAGCTTTTAGACGGGCTCCTGTTTGCGAAGCAGGGCAGATGCTGCCTCCTTCCATCAGCTACCACTCGCTGCTGCGGCGTGACCAACCATGTAGGTCTGAATCAATTCCTGTTTAAAAAAACCTTCACCTCGGAGCTTCTCTGCCTTAGGTATGTTTCATTCGCTTCTACCTCTTCACTGCGTTGGCTGCCTTGGAAGAAAAGAAATTGCAGCAAAAAAAAAAAGTTCAGGGAGTAAGTGGTGCTTACCGTGTCCGACGTGCTGCCGGCTGCCGATCACCTGTCTCGTGGTGGGGGACGCCATCTGGAGAGGCACCGAAACAAGGCTGAGTCCCACAGGGAGGGAGCAGAGCCCAAGGCAACGGGGCGATGGAGGCTGAGACCAGGTGGGGCTGAGGGGACAGAGCTGGGAACACGCACTGTCCCCTCAGCAGATGGGACAGCAGACACCCACAGCTCACCTTTATCACCACCGCTGCCACAATCCCCAGCAGGGCCAAGGCGACCAGTCCAATTCAGCCCTTGTTAAACGGCAGAACTTGGCCCAATCCACCTTCTTCTGGCTGCCAGGCGGGTACCGGAGTTTGTTCGTCCCCTCCATCCTCAGGTCCTTGATCAAGCAGGCGCGGCGGTGGGAGAAGGTCTCAAAGCTGTGCTTGCCGTGGTAGGCGCCCATCCCGCTGTTACCTGAGGGACACGAACCAGGCAGGTCACACCACGCACGGTGACAGTTGCATTTCTTAAATTCTGTTTGGCAGCCCCCAGGACACGGGGAAAGCTTGGCTGCAGTGCTGCTCACACCTGGAGCAGCTGCTCTGCTCCCCAAGGGTGGAGAAGCAACGAGCGGCTTTAATAACTACCCAGGAATGAGTGAGGACCTGCTCATCGCCTTGGACTGGCGCTCAGGCTGGTTGTGCGCACCCACCCTTGAAATGTTAACGGCATCCCCCTCTCTTCCTCAGGGCCAGTCCTGCTGCTTCTGCCTGCGCCCCTGCCTAGCCAAATGAGACACCGAGGTTCCCTTGCAACCATTAAAATCTGCCCCTCCCTGCCCACCGCCGCAGCTGCGTGACACAGCCCCAATCCTGACCAAGAAAGCAGACGACTCATTAAAAAATGAAGGAAACAAAATAAATAAAGAAAGTTACCTTCAGAGAAGCTTCTCTCTCCACCAGTCTCCCACAAGGAGTGCAAGCAGCTGGAAGCCCTTCCCCTGCCATGGCTCGGAGCGATCTCTCCTCCCACGAGAGGATAGCTGGCCGGGACCCAGGGCTCTCACTGGGTAGAAGACACCCTTTACCCAGATAATACCCTCGGATCACCGCGTTCCGCCGGGGCAGTGACTCAGCTGCCCGTGCGGGATTGCGAGAGACCAGGTGGCTCTGCCCACGTTGGGGCACGAGGCCGGGGAAGCTCTTCCACGTGTCGCAGCGGCCATCGGGAGCCAACGAACGCGGCCCCGTGTTATCGCCTGGATCCGAACACACCCCAGGCTGGCAGCGCCTGCGGGCGGGAGGCCATCGGGGGATGGATCCACACAGGACAGGAGAAACAGCCCAGTTTCCCCACAGCTCCCAGCACCAGCTCGCCCCACGCCTTGCCTGGCTCCGGGGCCTCTTCGGCAGCCTGCCTGCACTCCCCTGTCGGAGCCCCGGGGGATCCTTCCCCACAAGCAGGAGGCCGTCGCGCTGGGAAGCCGCGCTCCTGCGCCGGGGCAGAGGCACCTCGCAACACGCGTGTGACCCTGTGCCAAGCCGTGGCCAGAGCCGGGAGCGGCAGAGGATGGGCAGGATTCCCCAGGAGACTACAGGGACTTGCCACACTCCGTTTGTTATTTAAATTCTCGGTGTTTATTTAGTATTTGCAAAATGTATCATTAAAAAAAGCTTAGCACATGGATTTTCACCAGACATGAAGAAATCCCACCTATTGCACAGTGAATATAATTTTCTACTCTATAGTGAGTAATTGCACTTAATAATAATTTTTAATTATTCTTTATTTAAACATTAGTACTTCTAAGGTCCTTTCACCTTAAATTTCTCCAGCATCCTCTCCCCAAGCTAGAACAAGCCCCATATTATCTCCCAGTGCAAGATTATAGCAGACCCAGAAGCTCAAACACAAAGGAGCACGCACTCTGTCAGTAATTGTTTTCCCTTGGAGGAATCTGACTAGGAACAGATTTGTCCTGGTTTCGGCTGGGATGGAGTTAATTTTCATTTTCACTAAGTTTCTTCAGAGTAGGATGGTGCTGTGTTTTGGATTTGTGACCAAAATCGTGTCGGTAACACACCCGTGGTTTAGCTGTGGCCGAACAGGGTCGGCGCAGTATCAAGATCTCTCTGTTTCTCACAGCCCCACCAGCGCGAAGGCTGGGGTCAGCAAGAGGCAGGAAGGGGACACGGCTGGGAGAGCTGACCCCAGCTGACCAAAGGGATGTTCCAGACCATGTGACGTTGTGCTCAGGGATAAAAGCTGCGGGAGGAAAGAAGAGGAAGGCGGGGGGGGGACACTGGGAGTTACAGCCTGTCTTCCCAAGTCACCGTTACGTGTGATGAAGCCCTGCTTTCCTGGGGATGGCTGCCGAGGGGAAGCAATGAATGGATTCCTTAATTTGCTTGCTTGCACGCCCAGCTTTCCCTTATTAAACTACCTTTATCTCAACCTACAAGTTTTCTCACTTTTACCCTTCCGATTCTCTTCCCAGTCCCACTGGGGGAGTGAGCGAGCGGCTGTGCGGGGCTCAGGTGCCCACCTGGGTAACCCACAACAGGGACTTTGTGATTCCCACTTCTCTGAACAGGCCTGAAAGCACTTTTGTATGAGCAGAAGATACCCTTATCAGCAAAATACAGGCAGTGCCGGTATCGTCTTTGTAATTTTCTAACAGCCACGTGATTGTTACAGGCACACGATGAAAGCCAGAGCCCCAAAAAGGGGGTCAGCCTGCATCCCCTGACCAGCTGCGGATGAGCCTGGTTCACGTGAATATCTCACCTCAACTAAACGGCACGGGGAAACCTCACTAGGGTTATTCATAACCACCACTATTGGTAAAATGCATCAGCCAGCACAGCCTGTCCCAGACTTGTCCCCAAGACGGTGGCTGTTCGGAGCACAACAGAAGACAGACCATCCCGAAAACCACAGGGAAAACACTGTCGAGCCAATCACAGCTGGAACTTAAGCTCCTGTTTATCACTGAAGGAAGGTAAGTGGGTTGGTGCAGGACACACTGTGTGTGCCCGTGGAAGCGGCGCTCTGCATGGCATGGGGTGGAGGTAGGGACTGGTCTTTCTTGCTCTGCAGTCCTCCTTTTGAGAGCTGGTGCCCAGTGGTCCCTCTGTTTCAGCACAGCTTTTTAGTAAACGGGAGTCCGGGCTTTCTCTTGGTTAGTGCCTCTCTAAGGCTACTCTGGGTGCTCGACAACTCACTGAAACAACCCAGTACAAAAGAAAAAAATGACTTCTCAGGTTAAGGAAACACACAAAGCGAGCACTCAGAGTAGGACTTGCCCATGGTGCCTTCTCTCTTCAGTAGAAAACCATCTGCGAAAGCAAAACACACCAACGTCCTGTGAAGGATTTGCTGAAACAAAACCAACTCCCTTTCTACAACAGCCTGAAGCAAAGCCCCTTCGCTCAGGGTGACCTCCCCAGGGTGCAGCTCGCCTGCCTCCTGCCCCCTCAGCATGCACCGACTGGTTATCACGGACGCTGCCCGAGCTCTGAGCACTTCCAGGCAAAGCATCGCGCTCTGGCTCCAGGGGGAACCTTCTCCAAGCCCCACACTCACTCCTCTAACAAGGCTTTGCCCGATCTCAAACCAGGTCTAAACGCAGGAGAAGAAAAAGGCTCCTACCTCACTGTGACAGCCACAGGAGCGCTCTGAAACCTGCTCCTCCTTACCACACACTGAGCCAGCCCAGCCTCTGAACAGCCAGCACAATCAAGAGGGCTTTTCTCTTCAGCACAGACTGGTGATTCTGAGAAAACCCAAATGATTTCAAGATGCCGTGAGTTTCCCCCCCTTCGCTGAGAAGGCAGTCACCTAGACAGGGCCTGGCCTCCCTGGCTGGCGCTTCGAGGCCTGAGCCTGGTGTTGGCTCCCACACCTCTTCCTGGACTCCAACACGCAGGCAGGCTATTTGTTATTTCCCCTGGCTTGCTGGGCTCCTGCACGTCTCCTCGCAGCAGTAACACAGAACAACAGACTGAAGGGCAGATCCTGATCCACCCTGCTGTCTCCTGTCCGCTCAGAGCCTGCTGCCTCAAGCGTACCAAACCCCCAGGATGCACCGCTGCAAGGAGCGGCCAGTGCAGCCACGCGTAGTGCCTGGTCCGCCGGCCACGGAGAACCACCAGTGATCACACCTGGAGTTTTAGATCTTAGCCCTCCACCTCAGGAGGCATCTCAAGCCCTCCAGCCAGCACCAGCAGGCTTCTGCCTCCTGCAGAGAGGGGAGGACATCCCACCCTTCCGCACTACCCAGCCAGAAACAGGGAGGAAATGGAAATAATTGAACTACGGTCAGATGGGGGCTGCAACTGGACGAGGAACAAGAGCTCGGCGTAGCTCTAGGCTTTAGGACGCAGCCTCCCTTCCCCAGGGTGCCGCGGCACAAACCTGCAGCCGTCTGGGCCAGGCTGTGGAGCGGCTCACGAGGCTGCTGAAGAAAGCCCTGAAATTGAAACCACTCCTAACCTGTCCGAAACATACCAACCACTGCCTCTGGAGGGAGCTTTTCACGGCTGTCACCTACCAAGGCAGAGCAACAAATAGTACAGCAGCCCAGGAGATCTCTCTGAGGACATTTCTACTCTAGGTACCACTTGCAAGAGCAAGAAACAGATCTTGGTAGTTTCAGGTGGGCCAGATATCGTAAGTCTCGAGACAGAAAAGCCAGGCCAGGCTCTAAGAAAGGGCTGCAGTTGCAAAGAGCGAACTTGCAGGAGATCAGATGAATTGCACGTGAGCTCGCACGGACAGCAGAGACGCACAGCTCACCTTTATCACCACCGCTGCCACAATCCCCAGCAGGGCCAAGGCGACCAGTCCAATTCGGCCCTTGTTAAACCGCTTCAAGAGGAAGAACTTGGCCCAATCCACCTTCTTCTGGCTGCCAGGCGGGTACCGGAGTTTGTTCGTCCCCTCCATCCTCAGGTCCTTGATCAAGCAGGCGCGGCGGTGGGAGAAGGTCTCAAAGCTGTGCTTGCCGTGGTAGGCGCCCATCCCGCTGTTACCTGAGGGACACGAACCAGGCAGGTCACACCTCAGGCTCAGCCAGTCAAACCTTTGGCCACTTGAGGCCGCCAGCAGGGCAAGAAGCAGCACAGGACCATTTCAGTTGCTTGCCAGCTGCACTGCCTGCTACCTGCCGGTTAAAAGCACAACTTCTCTACCTTCCCACAGAGAACAACCGATCCCTTGTCTCTGCAGCACTTCCCAGTCTCCAGGATGTCCACCTGTACTCCATCCCTCTCCTTCCCCACCTCCTTTTCGCTATGCACTCTCCAGTATTTCGTCGTGCTCCTGCGTGCACTGTTCGCCGTGCCCCTGAGCCGCCTCCAGCTCGTCCCTGGACGCAGCTCCCTCGCAAAGCACCAGCCGAGGCTGCGATCCGAGGGGTGCTGTGTAGGAAGGGCTCCCGAGGAGCTTCGCAGGGTACGTTTTTCAATACCAGGACAGGCTGTGCTGTTCACAGCAGCAGAACGCTGCTGGTTCACCGTCAGCTTGTGAGCACCGTTAACGCCCAAACCCTCTTCTGCAAAGCTCCCACAGGCTTTTCGTAACCTGCTCCAATTCTCCCCAAGCTGGAGTCCTACCCTTCCTCCTGCAATTACTGCTAATCGCTCCGATGGCAGCTGGTGGTTTTAATGCACCTTTCACAGCAGTCTGCACTAAATGCTTCCATCTTCCCAAAAAACACACCCAAAGGTTTTTTCCTTTTGGCTCCTGTCCTAATGTACTCCCAGAATCTATTATTATTATTGAGATCTGCTCTACAGAGACCCTCTGGCTGTGGGGGAGCAGGAATACCCGGACACAAACCAACTGCTGCTGTTCCCTGGGTCACACCACGCAGCAAGTCACAACACTGAAGGAGCTCCAGTAACTTACCAACACCGCCAAAGGGTAAAGTTGACAGGAAGAAATGCATGATGACATCATTTCCAGTAAAACCCCCACTAGAGGTTTCCGAGATGACTCTTTTGATTAACTGACAAAAGAAAACCAAAAACCAAAACATTACAAAGGACCAGAAGAGAGCAGACCACGTAACTGAGCAGGCCTGGGAGGGGAGCTACAAGCCAACAGGCCGTCGCGTTCATTTTCTCTGGCTGACAGCTGAGACAAGCCCTCTCCATGCAACGTTAACTCAAGGAAACTGGGAAAGTTCAGAGGAGGGATGGGAAAAATGCAAACCTGGGAGCTCGCCTCCCTAGCGATATGTTAAAAGTAACTAAATTAATCATGAAAGATGACGTGGCATCAAAGGGGAGATTCAGCATTTTGTCCTTCTGTTTCACAAAGCCATGCAAACACAAAGTCCCCGTGAGCCAAACGCTGCAATTCAGATGCAACGAGGAGACGATGCAGGCCCTGAGGGGAGCCGCGCCTGCGACCTGCCACGTTCAGGATCGAACTGCTCGGACACCTCTGCGGGGGAGCACAGCCCAGACCCACCTTCTTGTTGTTGGAGAAGACGTAGAGGGCAAGGGGCTTCTCCCGACGGTTGATGAACTCAATGGCTTCGTCTACGTTCTTCACGGTCAGAATGGGGAGGACCGGTCCAAAGATTTCCTCCTCCATCACCTTTGACTCCGGAGAAACGTCGGTGAGGATAGTGGGGGCTAAGGCAAACAGGAGGGCAGAAGACAGGGTGAGCATGACAGAAGACATGGTCCATCGCAGGACCTTGTCCTGGGCGCTGCCTGCATTCAACACACACCAAGCAAGACGCAGACACATGCAGCCCCCAAAAAAGGCACCTGCTACTGCAGTGCAAAGTCCCACCCTCCACCTTCCCACCCCAACAGCTGCCAGAAGCACCTATGAAGCAGGAGGCCTCATCAGCCTCTCCCCCGTAAGCAATCTTCTGCCCTTCCAGCAGGCCCAGGATCCTCTTGAATTGACGCTTGTTGATGATCCTTTCATAATCCGGAGACGACTTCACGTCTTCCCCATAGAACTCCTGCCAACGGGCACAGCAGAACCAAAGCGCTCAACAGACTGCCACACCCAGGAACTCACCCCTGGGTGGGAAAAAGGACAACTCCACGCTCACCTGCAGAGTCTCCTTTATGTTCTCCACCACCTTGCTCTGGATAGACGGGTCGCAGAGGATGTAGTCCGGGGCGATGCAGGTTTGACCACAGTTCATGTATTTCCCCCACGTTATCCGCCTGCGGGGGAAAGGGGGATGGTTTCTCCATGGTCAGTCCCTTCCAGACCCCACAGCCCAGCCCACTGTGCCTGAGCCCGCCGTCTGGGGACAACGGCCCAGAGATGTCCCCCTGCCCCAATGGGGTCCCTGCCCCACTGCTTAGACCCCGTCAAGGGCTTCGACAGCCTGACCTGCAGGCGACAGCCAGGTCGCAGTCCTTGTCGATGTAGCAGGGGCTCTTCCCGCCCAGCTCCAGGGTGACGGGCGTCAGGTGCTTGGCGGCCGCTGCCATCACGATTTTGCCCACCGTGGAGTTGCCGGTGTAGAGGATGTGATCGAACCGCTGGGTCAGCAGGGCTGTTGTCTCTGGTACTCCCCCAGTGACCACAGGGTACAGCTCCTGCGCGGCAAAGAGCAGCCTTATAGTTGCCGTGACTTAAAGCACGTACGTCAAGGCAGCAGCTCTGCACGGGGCAGACTCACTTGTGAGCTACATCAGGGTCTGGATAAAAGACAGTGGTAACAGAGACGAGCTCTGCTCCTTGCCCTGGAAGGAAGTTTCTCTTGCCACTTTGGGCCACGGGAACTAAAAGAAATGGAGCTGCTCCCACATGTTAAGACCTAGGGCACACACGACCGCCGGGCTCTCCCAAGGGCTGTCTCCTTCCTCAGCTCTCACCTCCCACCTAGAGAAAGCGCCAGCTCCCCAGAGGAAACTGCACAGTGGGGCCACGCTGTCAGAGCAACAGCCTGTCTCAGGGACACAGCGCAATGGATGTCAGAACTGCCAGACAGGCAGAGGAGAAATGATACG